AATTTTTTTCGACTCCTTGGCGTAGGAATAGTTCACTAGTGATTAGTTCTCTTTATTGTCATTTTCATCGTCCCTTTCGAGCTTCTTTTCACTTGTACCGTGTATCACCGCTCTCTCCACTTCAACATGGGCCATGCGTTTACGACCCCCCCCCTCCATCGCGGGCAAATACGACCCCCCTGTTGTGATGATCACAAAGATGGCGTGCCCTGCTTGCCGGAGTGGCGATTTATGGCCACTTTGATCTTTCACATTCCAACTTTTCACGCATACTAAGTGGCTCATCCACCCCGGTGTCCCCTCCCCTCAAAAAACTCATCTCCTGGCTCGCATCGTGTTTTTTGTACCTCACGATGCCTTGGCAGTAGCACTCCCTTATCGCTCTGCGCTCTGGCCTATCGTGGCAGGACCCCCACCAAAAGTTTTAGTTGTCATGTAACCGACAGGAGGTGAGGTCCACCTACTCCGAGTTGCGGTCAGGACGAAGGAGCTCAAGGTAAGTTAGGTGAATCCAAAACACTTTTAAAGTTTTGACTGTCACCAATAGTCTTTAACAAAAGTACTTGAAGGCAGTTGGCACGATAAATCCCCAAGGCGACTAGGATCAATACTCCTGGCAGGATAGAATTCCGCGACCCTGGGCAGGCGCTGCATAGCGGTTTCCCCGAGGAAGGTGCCCTTATAAGGGCCCTATCAAGCCACAACTTTACGTCCCAAACGCCCGCCACGCCCGCCCGCCCACAAATGGACGACCGTTCCTGACGCTCGTATTCATTCATTTGCTAAGCAAATTATGAAGCGAAGGGATTGGTGAAGCGGCCGTGATGCTGCATGCATATATGGGTACACATATGCAGCCGTATCTTCGGTAGCGGTGATTGGCAAGATGCCTACTCGTCCGAAATCGATTTTCAAGTCACTGAGAACGGAGGCTTTTTCTTCGCAGGATTTTGACCGTTTCACTCCGTTCTTTCGCCATTTCCCCACTATACAGCGCCCTACTAGCATTTTAGGCCAAGTAGGAAATCACTGTGCCAACTGCCTTCGAGCACCTATCTAAGGTTGAATGAACTTCCTCGTTTTCTGCATGGATAAAACTGGACCTGTAAACTACTTCACAAGAAATTCATCCTTTGCGCCCAAACTGAAAAGTGAAAAAAATATACAAACCGGCGAATGGGTCACAGGGTGAATCGAGTGAATACATTTTGTCGTCTTCTTTGGATGAATCGCGCAACGGATTTGCGCACACCTTCAGCGCAACGTGGCACATGTCCTGAACCTTGCCCATCCTGAAAATATCAACTCACCCTTTAGGATTAAACTTCAACCCCTCTCTCTCTATTTCT